AGGTCCAGGACCTAGGACTTTACCATCCCTAACCACAGGCTTAATATCTCAATTTGCCCCAATTTAAAATTTGAGCAATAAAATTGTATTGCCCCGATTTGAAATTTTAAGTTGGATCGCCCCAAATTGAAATTTTGATTTGGGGCAGATCATCAACTTGGGGCACAACATAGTTATTGGATAATTCGTAAATATGTAGAAATAATGATTTTAATTATGATTCAAGACATGAGACAATCGAGACATATTCCCGAATGTAGTGTTCCAATCTGTCAATCCCCCATCCGTATCCGTCGTCGGATTTCCATCGTTTTCGGATATCCGTCATTTCGGATATCCGTACATACAGATAGGACGGATCACGGATATCTGTGACGGATTGATGGATCCCATCCGATCCCATCCGAATTAAACGGATCATCCAGATAATCCGATTTTTACTACATAATTCTGGTCAAATCTGTAATGCTGGCCAGAATGATAAAAAAATTTTTTTTTTTCAACTTTGTGTTATACAAATGTTACACAACATAATTCGGGCTAGCACTATGAATTCAGCCTGATTTAAAATTCAACGGATATCCGAGGTTATCCTTCACAGATATCCGTCATGTCGGATATCCGTACATACGGATAAGACGGATCACGGATATCCGAAAGTGGCGGATGACGGATGACAGATTATCCGCGGATTGTAACACTACCCGAATGATATCTTTTAAAATTCAATTGTTTAATTGACTGACATTTATTTATAATTAAAATAAATAATTAAATAATTATAATATTATTTTTATCACACACTATCACTGGTCAAAAACCAATATATCGGGTAGCAGATATGTATCAGATATGTACCCGATATGTGTAGTATTAATGCAGAAAATCGGGTACCTGATATGTGTAAGATATGTGTAAATATATATATCGTCTACATATCATTTACATATCATATACATATCGGTACCCGATATGTATATGATATATATATTTACATATATCTTACACATATCGGGTACCCGATTTTGTGCATTAATACTACACATATCGGGTACATATCTGATACATATCTGCTACCCGATATATTGGTTTTTGACCAGTGTATTGTTAAAATAATAAAGTTTATCCGATGTATATAGTATATTACACGTACAAATTAGAATTTTGATATTTTTAAAATAATATTATTTTATTAATTTTTATTAAGGTAATATTTTTGTATATATATAAAATAATTGGAAAAATATCCATTTTTGAAATGCGTTAGTTATTAAATGCATGAATTTAAATTGATGCCAGTTAAGGAATAAGAATTAAAGAAGGATGACGTAATAATATAAAACAAGGAATCAATATCAACCCCGCGGCTAAAATATTTCACTAGTTAAATAAAGGAAATTTTGGGCAGGGTGATTTTTCTTTATTAAATAATCATCTAAGGTTCATTCAAATTTGGTTCTATTTATTTTAACCTATTTTTAGGTTAGGGATAACTGTCGTAATAATTATCCTGATTTAACACTAGTCCATTTTATGGCTTGTACGAAATTTGTCCAACATTTTTTACGTTACCCTTTCATCCAAATTTAGTAGAAGGCTCATGCGGGATCTTCTGCCCTAGGGCTTATTTATATCTTTGGTCAAAAGACGATGGCCAATTTTGGTTTTGATATCGTCATAATGAATGAATGAATATTTAATTAATTGTAAACTATCATTGTTACTTGAAGGTTTGTGCTGTGCATTTATGATGTTTATGATTGCGGAATGTAACATGTTGTACGACAAGTGCCATATATTTATGACACGCCGGACTGGACAGATGTTTAAACGTAAAAGCTAAATCATTTGACGTTTAAGGTTAACTGCGAAATTCAAATGATTTGCTGTACCGATAAACTGTTTGACTTTATAGTTAAATTCTTTGCCAATACTGTCAAACAGTTTGGCGATATGAAAATAATTTTCCATATTTGGTTAAAATTCAAATGGTGCAATTTAAGTAATAATTTTCTTTTTAAAAGTCACGTGAAATTCTATTTCCTTTATAGGAAATTTGTTTATAGATTTTGGAATTAATGGCAAATGCTTTGGGAATTAATGACAAATGGTTTATATTTAACACCAAATGCTTTGTACTCCAAAGTCAAATGATATGGTGTTAACGTCAAATGATTTAGCTTTTACGTTAAACATCTGTCCAGCCTGGCGTGCCATACATATTGATGTACATTTCCGTTTATCAGTTACAAATGTTTCCAAAATAATCTACATTATTTTTAAAATATTTTATCTAGATTGTTTTCAAATAATTTCTTTATTAAGTTAAAAATTATTCATCTACACAAAAAAAGTTTTTCAAATTAAATATATAAATACCCACTCTGACTTGTTTTTTAAAAAAAATAATATATATAATTATATATATATATAAGATTTAATTTTGATATCTCTTCCTTCCTTTTTCCCCAAAATATACACGACGATTGCTTTTTTTAAATTAAAAAATAATTTCTTCATATTTTTCATATTTTTGATATTTTTTAATGAATTAGTTTTTTCTCAATGTATAGATTATTTTGATGCCTTAGATCATGAAGTAAAAAGAAATGTTGCTTGTCCGCTCGTAACAGATGATCCATCAAAATATTCTAGGAGAGCACTCTCTTCTTATGAGAATGAATCAAAAATACAAATTACAGAATTTAAATGTAACAATACAACAGAAGAAATTTGTAATAAAGTCAAAGACACTATTTTGATAGCTGGAAAAATTATTTCAAAAACTTTTATTTTAAAGTCGCCCATATTTTTATCCGTTAATTATACTAATTTATGTATAGTTCAACCTGATCTTTGTAAATTACAAGGAGGAAAAGTTGTTGTGATAGGTAATTCCTTTAAATAAATATATATATATATATATAGAATTATATATTGAATATATATTAAATATAAATTTATTTTATTTTTGTTAGGTGCCGCTCAATCAGCATGAGAAATATTATTGTTGGATGATGATGGATTATCTCGATATTATTCTCAATCATTAGTAAAACAGTATCAAATATCAATTTAAAAAACATCCTGAATTTGCTCCGATTGATATTATAGCAACATTTAATTCCATAGTTAGTAATTGGCATTTTCCATCGGATTCTGATATACCAATTCAACCAAAACAATTTGATATGCTTTAATTTATATCGTTTTACATGAATTAATGCATGGTTTAGGTTAGAGCTCCGAACAGGTCAGCCAAATTCAGGTAACCTGACCTGACCTGACCTGAAATTCAGGTCAGGTATGAGATTTTTAAAAAAAATTCAGGTCAGGTATGAAGATTGACCTGACCTGATTGACCTGTTGACCTGAAACTATTGATTCTACTATATAA